AAAGCCTGCTCTACCGCTCTCTGTTTTCTCACGCTGGCATCCTTCGCACGTTTGGATGCCCCAGATGCCCCAGCAGCTGGCAGGATGGGTCCAGGGAGCCCTTCCTGGTCTGCCTGTCTGCCTCCTTGCCCCAGGCTCCTTGGCAAAGCAGGGCAGGGAAAAGAGAACAGAAGTGTTTCCCTTGCCATCCAACTCCTAGGTCCCTCATTTATTCCTTGCTCTCTCCAGATTCTGGTCCTCTCATTATTTCTGATCTGTACAGCTTGCCGCTTCCCTGGCTCAGCTCTCCCACCCCCGTCTGCAAAGTGTCAATCAAGCCATCAGATGAGCAGCTCAGCCTCATATCCTCAGCGTCTCTGCCCCAGGACACGAGAAGCGATTGCTGACACGCACAAGCAGCAAGGTGTAAGGCTGCTGGCTCTCCCTTTAATAGTCTTCCGATCCAGAATGGGTGTTAAAACGGAATTTGAGTGGATAGCTTCTCTCTGCCTGCCCCTGTCAGGACAGCCGCAAGGACGGGGAACCCTGAGAGAAGGGGAAGGCTTCAGAAGTCAATTCGCTTTTCATTTCAAGGTTGGGCCATGGCCAGTGTCTGCTTTCGGAGGAGCTGTTTGAAATTCTTAACGAGAAGCAGAATGCTTGCGTCCAGGAATCCAGGGCAGCCTTGTGAAGTAGGGATGGGGAAATGGAATTGTCATTTTATCTCTGAAGAGATATTGTATTAAACAAAGTGGGGGTGGGGGTGCGGGATACAGAGACGCTTTGTAGCTTCCCTGGAGGACTGAACAATAAGAAATATCGAGGGCAGCAGGAAGAACTGAGATTAGAACAAAGAGTGAACTTCCCCAGGCCCTGGAACCCGCGGCCAGGGAGATTTGAAGCATCTGCTTCCCCGGGGGCTTGTTCCTTCTTTTACAAATTGTGAATGGATGTGTGGTTTTTATAGAATACGGCAACTAATGAGCATGAAGCTCAATTACCCCACCAAGTTCTCTTTCGATTTTTGATCTCACACACGCAGAACACTTGGTTGCAATGTGTGTGTATGTCTGTTTGTGTTCTGCTTGCCTTTCTCAGGATTATCTCATACACGCATTTCTGCATAGCAGAGTCCAGCTTGTTATTGGGAATAGCTACGTAGTATTCCATTGTGCCAGTGAGCCAGAGCTTGTTCAGCCATTCCTTGTGGTTGCGTTATTTCTCATTTTTTTAATCTGTAAAAGCACAGATATAAATATCTGCATACCTTTGTCTCCCCTTGGGATATGGTTCCCCAGATTGAATTTCTAGGTCAGAAGGTTTGAGCTGTTTTACCCGGATTGCTGTGTGTTGCTCCAGCCACCTCCAGGAGATCCTGACAACCCAAATTGCAACCCTCCTCTATGTCTGTCCTCATAGCACTGACAACATAAGATGTTGTCATTTTTATTTATTTTTGCTCATTTAATAGGCATATAATAGTACCTTGCAGTTATTTAATTACCATTTTTTTCATTGCTAGTGAGACTGGGCACACTTCCATGTGAGGATTTATTGTCTGCTTTTCCTTGTGCGTAAACTGTTCATCTCCTCTGACATCTTATCAAGAGAAATCTGGGGGCTGATCTTATATATTTATATCAAGCCTTTACATACTCAGATAGTACATTTTTCTCGGTTATGTCAGCCATTTTTTACTCTGGGGAGCTGTCCAGTTGTGATGTGGATGCTGGCCTGTTCCGGGGGATGGGAGTGGCAGATGGAGTTGTGAGGATTTCTGGACTCTTGAAATATATATATATATATATATA